GTATTAGTCTTTTCTTACTCATGCAGGCGGAGTTGCTGGATAACGGTAATAAGCGTGATCACTTCCTGCTTCAGACAGTTTATTTTTCCATAAAAGAGCATGACTTCCAAAGGCGTTGACTTGAGCTGCACTCCCTTCGTTCCTCTCTCCAGCTGCGTGCACTTGGCCCGGTAACATGCTACCCCTGCGGTGCAGGGTACCCATCCCAGGCCGCGTGAGAATCCAGGGAGATCAGACATGGGACGTCTTTACAGCAGCACCTCGCACAGCAGAGGAGCCAGGCACTGGTGTTGTTACCCACAGGCCGTGTCAGTTTCACAGCACCTGGCTGGGATCGCCAGCCTGCAGGCCATTGACCACACAGAAGGAATGGGCTCCGATGACAAAGGCAGCCTCCCATCCCCACTCCGAGCTCACACAGACATCCCCCGTCCCTCAGCCACAGGGCAGCTGCCAGCGGGATGCAGGTGAGAGAGCAGAGCAAACTCGTGGCCTCTGTGCTTGGGCCCTGCTGCTGGGCAGCTGGCAGTGTGGTCAGTGGAGGCCCAGGGGCCAGCTGGAATGAAACGGGCTGAGTTCAGAAGTCTATCCCTGAGGCCTCCACATATACAGTTGCCCTGTGGGTTTTTTAAAGACTTTATTTTATTATTTATTATTTATTTGAAAGAGTAGAGAGAGAATTCCATCCACTGGTTCACTCCCCAGATGGCCACCGCAGGCTAAAGCCAGGAGCTAGGAGCTTCATCTGAGTCTCCCACATGGGTGCAGGGCCATGTCCTACTGCTTTCCCAGGCATGTTAGAAGGGAGCTGGATGGGAAGTGGAGAAGCCGGGATTCAAACTAATGCCGACATCGCAGGTGGCAGCTCTATCCGCTGGCCACACCATTGGCCCTGGGAGCCATGTCTTTTGAGGAGTGACTGACAGCTGGTGGTGCACTGTTACATGTTTCACAGCTGGCTCTCTAAGGAGAAAAAAAACCCTCTTGGTTTGTCGCATTTGCTAATTTCTGTGGTATAATTATTCTCACTTCAAACTACCTGTGTTAAGTCATTAAGAAGATGCTTGGAAAGACACACACACTTGGTTCTCACTGCCTATATGAGCAGGTGCCAAAACTCCACTGCCAGATTTGAGCTCCATCCTATGCCTTCAGCGTCATTACTGGCTGCTTTTGTGCTAAAACTTATTCACAGGGCACACGGCATCATGTACACGTCCCCGAAAACGTGGCGTAGTTCCTCGCCTCTGCCCAGTCACCTTTTCCTCCCTTTCGCCTGGCTTCCCCTCCCCAGTAGGGATGCTGTGAACGGGGGAACAGGCTGTGCACTGCACATCTCCAGGAGTCATCAACAAAGGCTAGAGTTGTGCAGTGCACAACCTGCGCAATCCCTGTGTCAGCTCTGCACCCCAGGCTTCTCCCTCTCCACAGCTGGGTTGTTGCTACTCTGCTACACTCCTATGGCTCCCTGAAGTATTCTCTACTCCCAAGCTCCCTAAGTTAAGAAAGACATCTTCCCTAGCATTGAGTAGTGAGGGAGTCTCTCCTGTGTCTGTCTCCACTTCTCTATTGTGCATTATTTAAGAAGAATCAAGGCATATGGACTTCAATAACCCAGCATCTACTGGAGCATGTGGTATGGCCCAGGGGCTCTGCCTAGAGGCAGAGAAAGCTCAGGGGAGACAGAAATGTATCTTGATGGAAAGGGGTCATTGGATTTGTTCTGTGCAGTCCCTGTGCACCTGATATAGGTCTGTTGGGGGAAATAGCACCCTGGGAGACAGATGGCGATTCTAAGAAATAGTTTAAGCCACAAAACCCTCCAGTCAGTGGATGGGCCGCAGTGAAGGGTGGTGAGCTCCCTGCCTCTGGTTCCACAGGCCAAGGTTGAGATACTCAGGTTCCAGGGATTTCCTGTGTTGAACAGCAGGCTGATGAGACTTCTTTGTCATCAGGTATGACTTGAAGCCACAATTTCACAATGTCTTCTATAACTATTTGAAGTCTTTCTTTAATTTGAAAAGCAGACAGAGACAGACAGAATGAGATCTCCCATCTGCTGGTTCACTCTCTGAACACCTGCAAGGACTGACACTGAGCCAAGGCTGAGGCTCAGAGCTCAGAACTCAGCTGGGGACTCCCGCGTAGGGAGCAGGGACCTGGCTACTGACCCTGCCGGCTCTCAGGGTCTGCATCAGCAGGAGGCTGGAGTCAGAGGTGGAGCAGCAACCCCGATCCTAGGCACTCTTATACGGGATGCAAACCTGCAAACCAGCTGCCTGCCCACTGTACCCGCCGTGTGACCCTGCAAAGCCTTCTATAATTACTGGGCGACCCCTGTGGGCGATTTGCTACTATATCCAGTTCCTCCTTCTTTCTGGCTGAGAAAATAGGGGGTAACGTTTAAAAAAAATTTGAGAGGCAAAGAGACAGGTAGACACGCAGAGGGAGAGAGAGAAAGCGAAAGGGAGAGAGAGGTTCTAACCACTGGTCCATCTCCCACGTGCTCACAGCAGGGGCGAGGCCAAAGCCAGGAGCTGGGGATGCAACCCAGGTGTCTCACAGCGTGGCATGCAGACGATAGCTCGTACCGTCACCACTGCCTCCCGGGGCTGCATTAGCAGGAGACTGGAGCCAGGGATTGGAACTGGGAGTTGAACCCAGCTACTCCCATGTGGGACGTGCGACTCCCAATTCTAGTACGCTAAATGGCTGTTCCCTGCGTTCAGTGTTTTTTTTTTTTTTTATTTTAGGAAATGGCACTCTGTTTTCCATAGCAACTGTGTCATTTTTGCTTTCCTAACAATGGTAGCAGAGACTTGCTTTCTCCACACCCGAAATTTATTATAGTTATTTATGTATTTAATTATTTTTATTTATGTAGGAGCTGTCCTGATGGGTGTGAAACACTAAATTGGGGTTGGTAACATGGGGAGAGAAGGGTGGGGGCAGGTGGGGCAGATGTGCCGTGTATCCTCTTACCAGCACCCCTGTCCCAAGCATCTTCCACTACGATGGGTGCAAGGGTGCAGAGTCGTCTGTAAACCACACACACGGAGCAGCTGTGACTCCAGGATGGAGATGAAGAGAACACCACGGAGGTCATAGCCCAGCTGGTGGAGAGAGGCTGTTGTTCTGACGCATTGGTATCTTCTCCTTAGAGAGGCTTGGGATCAGCATCTGGCTGGCAGAAGAATCTAGAAATATCAGCAGGGCCCATGGGCACCCAGCACACCGTCCGTGGTCTTTTGTTGCCACTTGCTCGCCCTCCCTCGAAGCACATGCGTGGCTGGTTGACCTCCTGCGACTCTGGTTTGGAAAGATGCAAAGGAGCTGGCCAGGGGACTGCTCGGGGTCCAAGGAGGCACCCAGAAGCAGGAGGCCAGTTTGGAGACAGCCCAGGTCAGACGGCAGGAGATCCAGAAACATCCAGCGAATGAGTCCAGTCAACCATCTGCCCTTGAGCTCACTGTGGCTAATAAACTTCCTTGAAGGCCGGCTCAGGGGCTAGGATTTAGGGGCCCACAAGCCTCCCCTCTTCCTGAAAGGAAGACCGAGCTCCTTCTCACAGAGCCTCACTTTTCCCATCTGTCAAATGGGACTCATCGTGCCTCACTCGAGGTTGTTTGGACATTTGCACGGACGTGCCTTGCATGCAGCCAAAGGAGCTGAGTGCTCGTGGCACTGGGGACAAGGATCCCAACCCCACCTTAAAGATGCTCTCTGCAGTGGTGTCTGTAAGCTTCAGGCAACTTCTGTGTTCTGGACCCTTCCTGGGACCCCTGTTGGCCTCTGTATCTACACGAGCATTTTTCTTTTTCTTTTAAAGAAGCTCTTGGAGGCTCCGCGTTTATCCCGATAAAGTCACTGCTGCTGGAAACACCCTCGGCGTTGTCTGGAAGCACCCTTTGGAGCAGCGCAGACCCACGGGAATGGGATGGGGGTCACTCACATCCTGCGGCATTCCCAGTAGACTCTCTTCACTTCAAACAAAATGAAAAGAAGCAGGTGAAATTAATTGTACTCACGCATCTTATTCAACCCAAAATGTTGTTTCAACGTGTAAAAGGATTGGAGGTACTTTACACTCTTTCTGCCATAGTAAGTCTGTAGTATAACATTACACTCACAGCACATCTGAATTTAGAGGCTACATTTTTCAAGGGAAGTACTCAATCTATATTGCAAGCTCATAAAATTTGCATTGGAAAAATTATATTTACATATCCATGGCGCTCCAAACGTACTTAGGAGTTTTCCAATAATGTCGCATTAGTGGAAGGGTATTTTACCCTGCTTCTATTTTCAGATTCAAATGTAAATTATTTAAAATGAAAGAAAGAAAATTAAGGGTTCAGTCTTTCACTCCTACTTGCTCTGTGAGTGTCTCAAGCACACAATAGTCACCTGTGGCCAGCAGCTCCTCCTTGGACAGCACCGGAGGGGCCTGGGGACATCCTTAAAACTGCTCACCTCCTCTCATCTTCTTGGAAACTGGTTTTACATCTTTTGAAAACCCCCTGAACGCGTTGGGAGTCTTGCCATTTGCAAGGATATGCTGAAGGGAGATCAAGCACTTCAGATCAGAAGGAGGATTGATGACATCGGGAGAAGGGTGATCCCTCCAGGGTGGCCCCTGCCTGGGAATCCTTGCTGTGCTCATCAAACGCACTTGGGTCAATGAGCCCCAGTGTGTTTGCCTTACAGATCTTGCATTGTCCCTCTCCATTGCACTGATGGTCACACCTGCCTCAGCCTGCAAGACAGCAGGTGTGACCTGATGCTCAGATAAACAAGGATCTAAAGGGTGCCTCCTGGGTGCAATGGTGACAGACCCTGAGACCAGCCTGGTGACTGGGCTCGGGTCCCCCCAGCACAGGCACAGGCTCCCTGGCTGTGCTGTCCCCGCCTTAGGCTCACAGACTGCTCTGTGTTGTCAGCGCTGAACAGTTCAACTGTGCCATCACAGATACAGGCAGAGCAATGTCCCCCTCCCGGGAGCCGGCTTGTACCCTGCCTTCCCTCTGGACCTACAGGCAGGATCGTGGCTTTGCTCTTGAACTCTAACAGGTAACAGCCTTAGCTGGCACAAGGATTAAACCTTGTTGAAAAGAACCTTTGGTTCTCAAATCCAAAGAGCTCCCCATTAGCCTGTAGATGTTGATAGTGGTTTTATTTTGCAATCAATTTTATGAGGCACTACCAAGATTTCCCAGGTATGAGATATAAGGTATTAGACAGTTCCATAAGATAGCTCCTTCCATTCCCTCCCCTCCCCTCCCCTTCTCTCCCCTCCCCACTCCTTCCTTCCTCTCCCCTTCCCTTGGGAAAGTGAGAAAGCAAATCTGAGAGTACTTACATGCTCACTAGCTCTCTCTCTCTCTCTCTCTCTCTCTCTCTCTCTGTCTTTCTCTGCCTCCCTCTCTATCTTGTGTTTATTATATTGTGTTTATCACAATATAAATATTGTGTTTATCACTTGATAATATATGAACTTTGGGCAGATCCCAATGGTTGCTGCATAAAAAAAATGACAGAAGTGGGGACTGGAGGTGGGGAGACCCTGCGGGACACTACTGCCATAGTCCACCAGGCCATGACGGTGTCCTGGGCCGGCAAAGTGGCAGTGGGGCTGGAGAACAGTGCGTGGAGTTGAGAGACACTCAGAGGGTGAGGCTGATTTGAAGCCAGGACTTCCCATCTCACCAGACCCTAGAAACAGTAATCCTGTTGGTTCATGTGTGCTCACAGGCCATGGCCTGCTTCCAGGTGATGTTCTCTATCCTGTCATGCTGCATTTCGTGGTGTCAATGCACTGTGCTGTCCTTGGGGTGAAGCCCATTTTATCCCCATGCCCTTAGGTTGGGTGGCTTTGTTAATCAGGCTAGTTCATATTAATTGCTGTAACAAATTACTCCAGAACCTCAGTGGCCTAAAATGAAGTCTTCTTTCTCCTGGACAGGCAGCCCACTGTGGGCAGGTGACTGACTGCTGTAGCCCAGGGTGTCTCAGTAATCCAGGTGCCTTTTGATTAGTGACTCAGATGTCACTTTGCACAGCCTTGGAATCCCTTCTCAATCTTCTGTAGCCAGCCACTGTATGATCCAGGGGAAAGAACATAGAGAATGATGAGATATTTGAGGCAGCAGGTCTGGAACTGGATCGTGGAAGCCCATACTTCACTTTTCAGAACGAGTCCAATGCTCACATTCAAAGAATCTTGAAAATACAGGTTGACCATGTGCCCAGGAGGAGGAGTGGAGTCTGGTGAACATCTAGTCGCTTCTGCCTTGCTGTGAGTAGATACTGGAAGGAGTGGAAGGGTGGAAACACTCCAATGATACTTTCTTTACTTAATCCAGAATGCTGTAGAAAATTTCTCCATCATTGAAAACTGCAACTCTTCAGGGATGTGATGAGCAAGCCCCAAGCACGTTTAAAGCTGGCCTCACTCATTTTCTGCCTGGTTTTGTGCCAGACCCAGTAGGCGAGGTAGAGAATGGCAACCGGATACTGATGTCAGCAACAGGGCGAGGCCATGAGTCCTAATGCGGCCACTTGTTAGAACTGAGACCCCTGGTTTCCTTGTCCTGCCACTCCCTGGGCTGACCCACGGCAATAATCACGTTGCCATTCCTGTGCGTGAGTGGATCTTTGAGATCTCCAGCCCTTCCTGAAAAAGACATGCAGAGCAGTGGAGAGGCCAGAACTAGGGGTGTGCGATGGAAGACAAAGCGCCTCTCACCAGTCCGCAGGAGAGGGATTGCTGTGACTGGGCTGTAGGACTGATCAGTTGAGCTCCACCAGCCTCAGTGAGTTACTTCCCATCATTTGTCTACCCATCTACACTGCATGCTACCTAGGAGTCCACTAGCCCCTGATCTGAAGTCATTCTGTAATGGTTATAGGCTGCTTGGCGTTGAGAAAGCCCCTGAAGCAATTTAAGCTTCCACATTCTCATTTGCAAAATCACTTTGGACTTTGAGCTCTCCTGCCTCTGCAGAGAAATCCTGAAAAGACCATGGTGGACGGGAGAGCAGCTAAGCGTTTCACCTTGGTCTTTGCTGAGAAAGACACTGGCCCCCTGACATTCCCAGAAAGGCTTGGGATCAAACTGGTCAAGGGATGAAACAGCCAGGTCTGCACTGGCATGCGTGGCACAGCTAAGTCAGTGACACGGTGCCACTCTCTGCGTCAGTCTTTCTCGGACCACGTGGGTGAGAATGCTGGTTGCACAGTTCAGGAGAGGAGTCCTTCACTCCGCAGGGGTATCTGAAGGAGTACCAGGAACCTGACTGCTGGTGGGTTTCCTCCTAGGATCAGGGTTCCAGAGGGGAGTGCAGATGTGGTAGACGAGTGAGTCACCTCTCTGCCATGAAAGTGAAAGGACGCTGCTAAAGGACCGGCTCGCAAGCACTCCAAGGAGAAGACACTACCAGGGGAAAAGAGAAGTAACAGCTCCAGCAAGATGGTGCAGTGGCACTGGTCGCTTTCTGGTCCTTCTCCTTCTTCTTCTTCTTTTTTTAAATATTTATTTATTTACTTGAAAGGTAGAGCTACAAACACAGAGAGAGAGGTCTTCCATCTGCTAGTACAGGCCCCAGATGGTCTCAATGGCCAGAGCTGTGCCAATCCAAAGCCAGGATCCAGAAGCTTCCTCCAGGTCTCCACGTGGGTGCAGGGGCGCAAGCACTTGAGCCATCTTCCACTGCTTTCCCAGGCCATAGCAGAGAGCTGGATTGGAAGTGGAGCAGCCAGGACTAGAACCGGTGCCCATATAGGATGCTGGTGCTGAAGTGGGAGGATTAATCTACTGCGCCACAGTGCCAGCACCCCCTCCCCTCTTCTGATTTTGCTGGAAAACTCCCTCTTCTTGAGTGCTGTTCTCTATGGTCCTGGAGGTGTTGGCTGCATCCACTAATCCCACTCCAGGGCTAATTATCCTGGTCATAGGATTGGTTTAGAGAAGGCCAGAGACATTTGATCAAAGTAAGTGTCTCCACTGTTGTTATTCAGGGGTGGGTGCTTGAGAAAGGGACGCCGGCTAAGAGAATAGAGAAACTGTCCAGAGGACCTGTTGAAAATCCTGGATCCTGCCACTCCTGTACCCTGTATGCCAATAGATGTTTTATTTCCTTTCTTATCAAAGATAGTTTAAGGAAGCAGGGGCAGGTCTGTCTCTTGTCACTGAAAGGGCTCTAACAGAAGAAGATACAACACTATCTATACTATTTGAATAGGGATAAGGATAACTGTAATTCTATTGGTGATATCTCCTCTCTAGTTCCCGCCAGATACTTCACAAATACTGGCTCCTGTTCTTCTACCAATTCATCAGAGATATGGTCATCACTGCTGCGCCATGCTGTTGAAATCGTATAGAGGCAGTCACGAAGGGTCCATTATGTTGATTGACCTGATCAAGGCCAAGTTGATTGTAACTAGTGAATCAGGGATTCAAGTTCAGTTCTGCTTAAGCAATCGATGCGGGTGCATCACTGTGTCAAAAGGTCACTCCTGGAGAGAATGGCTGAATAAACATGGGAGCACAGGGGACAAGCCGAGAATGTCCTCTGTTTAGCTCCCAAACTGCTGAAAGGATTCCCTAATTCAGACACGAATGTCTAGGAGGGTGCTATTTTTATACCAAAGGAAAAAAAAAAGAATGAGGTGCCACAATAAATACATAAACAAGTGAATTTTCTAAAAAGCATTAACCTAAATAGAAAGAAAGAGAATTAGCAAAGGTTTATTTTGCACCTAACATTTTGTTAGGATATTTTGGGTGCATTAATAAAAACCAACTGGAACTAATTGGCTTCAGGGATACAGTGAGTGTTACAGAGCTTGAGTCGTGGATAGAGCTGAGCTTCAGAGGCTAGAAATGGGGACCAGCGGCACCTCGGGCCTCCAACTCTTACTTCCACTTCTCTCGACTCACCTGCTCTATCCTTCTCTCCCTCAGTAGACAGACTTTCTGTAACCTGCAATGCTGCCCAACCTGGTTGGAATGTGGAACAGATGACCCAGTTGAAAGGAGACTTCTCATACTAAATTCTTCTCATGACCACCCCCAAGTTTCTCAAGGGGGTGGGGACAGCGTATTGGCAGGTGGAGGAGCTCTTCTCCATGGACATTCAGCTCAGGATCTCTGCTGAGTGTGCCGAGCTGGGACCAGGCCAGGCGATGGGGGCTGGAGCCCATGTGTGGGGCCATCAGGAATTGAGAACTGGGCCAGGCCATGGGGGCTGGAGCCCATGTGTGGGGCCATCAGGAATTGAGAACTGGGCATCTAAGTCAACATGTACCACAGCCTCACAGTGATTTTGCCGTCTTCTCCCAAATGGACCATCTCTGGGAGTCCCCCTCAGGTCCAGAAGTCCTTGCAGGCTGACTTAGGCTTGCCTTGGACTTGAACCTCGGTTCAATTTCTCCCTCGTCTCAGTTGTACGTAACTTCCCTTCTATCACACAAGGCTGCTCTGAGCACACGCCTTGCATTGCAACTTCCACCTGAATCTGCTTCCTGGAGAACCTGATCCATGCCAATTGCTGCTTCTTCTTCTTCTTCTTCTTTTTTTTTTTTTTTTTTTAAGATTTATTTATTTAAAGAGCTCAGAGAAAAGAGAGGCAGAGAGAGATCTTCCATCCAATGGTTCACTCCCCAGATGGCCGCAACATCCGGAGCTGTGCTGATCTGAAGCCAGGAGCCAGGAGCTTCTTCCCAGTCTCCCACATGGGTGCAGGGGCCCAAGGACTTGGGCCATCTTCTACTTCTTTCCCAGGCTGCAGCAGAGAGCTATATCGGAAGTGGAGCAGCTGGGTCTCGAACCGGCACCCATATGGGATGCCAGCGCTTCAGGCCAGAGCATTAACCCACTGCGCCACAGCGCCGGCCCCCACCCATTGCTTTTAAGACTTGTCTGAGAAATAAGACACTAGGTTGAGATTTGGAGGTGGGATCTGCCACTGTGTATCTGGCAATGTGGACTCCTTTCCAGGTGGTGGGTGGGGCGGCTGGTGCCAGTCCTGGGTAAAACAGAACAAATGTTAAACTCTCACTGGTGGTGAAGAGGATCGGTTACTAGCAGAAAGGGATACTCTAGCTGCTGTGATGAGCCTGGCATTTTATAAATATGAGGTTCGGGGCAAGAATGAGGACCGTGGAATGGAGTGGCTACTGCTAAGCGCAAATGAGACTCTGAAGAATGGATATGAAAAGGTGCCAAAGACTAATTGACAGGGAAGAGCCAAGTGTCAAAGCCAGGGACCTCCTGATGGGCACACACAGGGGCCCTCTTCTGCAGCAACAGGCAGAGCAAGCAGGGATCTTAGTCCTCTGAACCCTCAGGTTCAAGGAGAGTGTCACTCCCCACTCAGGCAGGCCAGCAATGTCAAGGTCAGGGCATGACCGAAAACAGCCGGGTTGATAGAGCACCATGTCCTGAATCTACACTCTCCCGATCTCCGGGCTGTGTCCTCTGTTAGCTGCCCCTCGTGCTCTGCTCGAAGACAACCTCCCTCAGCAGTTACAAGCACCCTTGGCCCTCCTCTCCCATGCTGTTGCGCTGATAACAAAGAGAAGTCACTTCTGAGCTTGGGGGACACAGAGAAAGGAGGAAAAGAGCCACGTGCCTGTGGAGCTGCAGGGGCTGGTCAGCCCGTGTTAGCTGGTGCTGGGGACATGAGCAAAAAGTTGGGTAGGGTAGAGTTTACTGATTTGGAACACTTTCCTGGGGTATAAGAATTAGCACCCAGAAAAAAATCCCAGGTCATGTTGAGAAAACAGTGGCTCCTACACCCTGACCTGGGACAATACAAAGGTCTCATCTGCTCCAGAGCCCCTCCATGGGTCCAACGTTGCCTGGAACTGTAGACTAATTCAACTTTTTGTTTTACCAAATCTTGCTTTCTTCCTCTCTGCTCCACAGGTCTTGGTGGTAGAGCAATTTTCTCAACCAATTTTCTGCACCTCATTTTTATCTCTGAGTTTACTGTTAGGGCAACCCAGTTGGCTACAGACACCCCCTGCCTTGGTGGAGCTCCAGTTCCTGGAGTCTAGTCTGGATACCTGTCCCCTGGAGGCTTCTGGGTCAGCAGAGGAACAGTCTGCCCAACGCAAATCGCTGGTGCTGCCGACCTGCAGGTCCAGGTGTGCCCGTCTTGGGAGCCATGGTACCAGCGCTATGTGTATCCTGCTGTGCTTTCCTATTTAATACCCATTTCTGTCATCGATCTGTTGGCAAAGTGTCTACATTTACAAGCAGAGAAAAATCAAGCTGATAGACATCAAGCACAGCTTGTCACAGTTAGAGCTCTCTGAGTAAGGTGATGAGCAGAGTGTCTGGGGTGCATTTATCCATCCTTTGATTTATCCATTTTACAAAGCTTTATTAAGCGCTTGTTGTATGCCAGCCCTGGGTAGGTGCTGGAGACACAGCACGTAGTAAAAGCTAGACTGAGATTTCCAAAACTCATGACCCAACAGGATGGAATAGCATGTAAATAAGTGCCAACCATCACTGGAAGACTGATAAAGGAAGCTTAAATCTGCCGCTCAACCGTGAGAGTGAGCACCATCTCTTGAAGGCAGAGGAACGCAGCACTACTGTGCCCCGCTCCCAACTCAAATGCCAGCGTCACCTGGCACAGTATGGCCAACAAAACTGACAGCCCTGTCTTTCCTTGTGTGCAGCTCATCCTGGTGTGAGCCCACATACCATGTGCAGTTCCGCACCCCATTGTACAAACAGTGCATTTTTTTTTTCTTTTTTGTGATAGTGCTGACAGATATGGCCTCCTGGCAGCTTTTGACTGAAGAAGCAGAGTTGGACATTTCTGTTTTTATTTCTTCAGGTGATTTCTCCCGCCAGGCAGGATAAGCCTGAGGAGTCCTCCAGTGATATAAAAGGTGGACTGTCGTGTTGGGTGTTAGTCAACACGGGGAGATGTGGCAATGCGGATGTCACCTGTTTGCTTTTTTTCTTATATTTTCCCCATCATTGGTAATCTCTTTTGCTGTTCTACTTAGTGGACACACGCCAGAGCTTCTAATGGCAAAAGTAAAGTTCAAACAGTGATTTCAAGGGCAACCAGAGGAGGAAGAGAGGAAGGATTATAAGTAGACCAGGAAGATGGTGAAGGAGACATTTAACCATTAACCAAAAAACAAGCGCCACATTGTTTCCCATCACAGAAGGAACTGGGTCAAGCCCACAAAAGGCAGGGATGGGCTTAGATGAGTCACAGAGGTGCACCCCACATCAAGAGGGTGGGGAAGTCAAGATGGGGCATCATGGCGGGATGGTGGCAGAGAGTGGGGGGAGAGGGAGGCAGAGGAGAAAGACTCTAAGGCTCTGAGGCTTAGGACCAACCTGCCACCAGGATCATTAGGTTCCTCCATTTGTCAGGCAAGGCCTTTTCCTGGCTGATGTCAATTTCTGTTCCCACACGTCCTGCCTTGTTCAAAGACCATCTCACCTGACCTGACACCTGTAAGCTCCAGGTAGATGTAGCTTATTTCCTGCCCCACACGTTCTGCCTGCCTCTCAAGCGCTGCAGAGATGTTCCTTTTCACAAACGCCACCTGTGTTCTCTGGGTAGTGAGTGCTTCCTACATCCTGCTGGGAAGCCATCACCTCTTTTGTCCAGGCAGTTGATCGCCCTTGCCCGGTGGGCTCCTTTGCTGCTGTTTGCTCCTAGGATGAAGTTTTCCATGTGCCAATGTGGAGCCTCCATGACTGCCAAATCAGCACCCCTCAGCAAAGAGCCTGGTACAAACCAGTCATACCACTGGCCACAGATAATTAGTGACCGCTAGGAAGAAGTAACAGATGCATTGAGCGTCTCGTCATGCCAGAGCTCTGAGCTTGCATGGACTAAGTTTTAAGAGTTGCCTGGAGAATCTTGGGTGAGGTACATGCTTCTCACCAAGGATGCTCACCCAAGGGAGCTAGTGGGGATTTTGAAGGGTCTGGCCCCACCTAGAAGGAAGGAATTGTACTGTGTGGGTGTTTGGTCTTGCAGGGTACTGTGTTTGCTGGGAATCAGTCTCTGGGCAGAAGCTCTTTGAAGCCCTCCTGTTTTGTACATTTCATGAATTCTATTTTTTTTCTGTTGATTTCCATATGAAAAAGAACTCCCTCCAGAGCTGGTCCCTGGATTACTGTTTGCCCTCGGAGCATTCTACAAACCCCTGAGATAGTTTGCATCACCTCCAAAATTGCACTCACCACAACCTGATTTGTGTGGTCTTTATTTGGGAGAGAGCTGATTCCCAGCTATGTAGAAACGTCTAGAACCCAGGGGTTGTTTGACTACAGCCTGTTTCTCCTGCAGGCCTTGTAAGTAACAGACACAAAGTGAGTTCTCTGCCTACATTTTGTTGGGGACTTTGGTCCATTGAAATGACATGGAATTCAGGTGGGTGGTGCTGCCCCGCTGTAGAGTTTGATCTTGACCTTTCGATCAATTGGGTGCATACATGTTTTCCTACTAACTGATTAGTCATATCTCTAGAAAGCTTTTACAATCCAGAAATTCTAGGTAGTTGCTCTAGCCTTGTTTTCCACGGAAGTGGATGCAGCGTTCTTTGGAGCCTGCAGACATCACTGGGCAGAGGAGCATGAGCAGGGGGTGCAGGTGACCTCTGAGCACTGCGCCAGACA